TTATATTATATATATATCATATATACAATGGTATACTACTTAGTCATAAAAAAGGTTGAAATCTTGCCATTTGCAACAACGTGGATGGACCTTAAGGGTATTATGCTAAGCAAAATAAGTCAGATGAAGAAAGGCAAATACCATATGATTTCACTCGTACGTGGAAGATTCAAAATAACAACAGACAAACACATAGATACAGAGAACAGATTTGTGGTTACTAGAGGGGAAGAGGAGTGGAGAAAGGGTGAAAGGGATAAAGGGGCACATTTGTATGGTGATGGATGGAAACTAGACTTTTGGTAATGAACACAATGCAGTGTGTACAGAAGTTGAACTATAATGACATACACCTGAAATTCATGTTACAAACCAATGCTGCCTCAGTAAAAAAAGAAACTCAATTGCATTTCTATACACCAACAACAAATTATCTGAAAAGAAATAAAGAAAACAATCCCATGTATTATAGCATCAAAAACAATATCATACTTTGGAATAAATTTAACCAATGAGGTAAAAGATGTGTATACTGAAAACAGTAAGACTGATGTAAGACATCGAAGAAGACACAAATAAGTGGAAAGATATCCTATGTTTATCAGTAACAAGAATTAATATTGTTAAAATATTTATATTATCCAAAGCCATCTACAAAGTCAATGTAATCCCTATCAAAATTCCAATGATTTTTTAAAGAAAAGGAAAAAACAATCTTAAAATTTATGCAGAGCCATAAAAGAGCCCAAATAGCTAAAGTAATCTTGAGAAAGAAGACTAAAGCTGGAGACATCACACTTTCTAATTTCAAATAATATTACAAAGCTATCATAACTGGCATTAAAACAGACACTTAGGCCAATGTTACAGAATTGAGAGCCCAGAAATAAAACCACATATATATGGTCAACTAATATTTGACAAGAGACCCAAGAATACTCAATGGAGAAGGTAGACTCTCTTCAATAAATGATGTAGGGAAAACTGGATATTCACATGCAAAATAATGAAACCAGACTCCTATCTTACACCATTCACAACAATTAACTTGAAATGGATTAAAGGCTTAAACGTAAGACCTGAAATCTTAAATCTCCTAGAAGAAAACAGGGAAAAACCTCCTTGACATTAGTCTTGGCAACAATTTTTTGGATATGACACCAAAAACACACGGAACAAAAGCAAAAATAAACAAGTGGACTACATCAAACTAAAAAGCTCTGCACAGCTAAGGAAACAATCAACAAGATGAAAAGGCAACCTATTTAATGGAAAAAAAAAATTGTAAACCATATATCTGACAAAAGGTTAATATCTAAAATATACAAGAAGCTCATACAACCCAATAGCAAAATCAAATAATCCAATTAAAAAATGGGCAAAGGACAGAAATAGACATTTTTCCAAAGAAGACGTACAAATGACCAATACGTTCATGAAATGATGCTCAACATTACTAGTCATCAGGGAAATGCAAATTGAAACCATGAGATGTCAACTCATACCTGTTAGAACGTCTATTATCAAAAAGATAAGAGAAAATAAGGGCTTGCCAGGATGTGGAGAAAGGAAACCCTTGACACTGTTGATGGTAATGTAAACTGGTATAGCTACTGCAGAAAACAGTATGGAGGTTCCTCAATAAGTTAAAAAGAGAAGTACCATATGATTTAGCAATCCCACTTTTAGGTATATATCTGAAAGAAATCATTTTCTTGAAGAGATATCTGTACCATCATATTCATTGCAGCATTATTTGAAAAAGCCAAGACATGTAAATAACCTGTGTCCATCGACAAGTGAATGGATAAAGAAAACGTAGTGTATATACATACAATGGAATATTATTCAGCTACGAGAAAGAAGGAAATCCCGCCATTTGTAGCAACATGAATCAACCTGAGGGCATTATGTTAAGTGAAATAAGTCAAAGAAAGACAAATACCAAGTGATTTCACTTACATGAGGGATCTAAAAACATTGATGAGTAGAAACAGGGAGTAGAATGGCAGTTTCCAGGGGTTGGATATTGAGGGAATAGGGATATATTGGTCAAAGGATACAAACTTCCAGGAATAAGTTGAATAAGTTCTTGGGATCTAATACACACCATGGTGACTAGAGTTGCTAAGAGTAGATCTTATATGTTCTTACCACACACAAAAATAGGTTATTGTGTGTGGTAATGAAGGTGTTAAATAATCCTATTGTGGTAATCATTTTATAATATATACGTGTATCAAGTTTTGCACCTTAACCTTACCCATCGTTATATGTCAATTATATCTTGGTAAGGCTCGGGAAAAAAAAAGAAAGAAATTGATTAAGAAGTAAGGAGTGGAATGTAAGAAGTGATGGAGAGGTTTGCTGCAAGTGTTAAGGTAAAAGTTGATCATACTAAGAAGTTCAAGCTTTTCTGAGCACGTGGTGCTCCAATTTCATCCTTTGAGACCCTCCTTGAGGTCCAAGTACATAGCAGTGGCAGACAAAATATAAAATATAAAAATCTACATTTGTCCTAAAAAAATGCTAAAAATTTTTGTGGGCCAGAAACAGAAACTCAAAGCAGAAAATGCAACTAAAGGAAATAAGAGAGCAAGGCTATCAGGAGGAATAACATTCAAGGCATAAGAAATAGCAAGTATAGAATTCCTGAGTTGGGACTGTATTTGATGTATTTGAGGAATTCTAAGGCTAATGTGGTTGAAGCAGACTATGCAACAGGAGGAATGGTAGGAAGATCTGTAGTATTAAACAGAAAGTTCAAATAAGCCATGTTGTATTTGGATGAGATAAGGTAGCACGGAAATAACAGAGAAAAGAACACTGGTTGGCCCCGTGGCGCAGCGGTTAAGTTTGCACATTCCGCCTTGGCAACCTGGGGCTCCCCAGTTTGGATCATGGGTGTGGACCCACACACTGCTTGGCACGCCATGCTGTGGTAGGCGTCCCACATATAAAGTAGATGAAGATGGGCATGATGTTAGCTCAGGGTCAATCTTCCTCAGCAAAAAAGAGGATTGGCAGCAGATGTTAGCTCAGGGCTAATCTTCCTCAAAATTATTAATTAATTAAAATAAAGTCCTATTTAAAAAATAGTAAAAAAAGAACAGACTATTTAATAAATAAGAGTGGGCAATTTTTGTTGAAAAAAATGAAGTCAGATCTCTATCTCACATAATTTTTTAAAATCCAAAAAGATAAAGACATAATAAAAACAAAAACAGGAAAAGTTAGATTCTTACCCCAACCAAACATATACATGACAGATTGGATGAATATAAAAGTAAAATTATGAAAACATTATAAGAAAATATAAGAATATTTTTATAACGTAGTAACATGGTCTGATAGAAGATGACCCAAAAGAAAAGCAATTCAAGCCAAGAAGGAAAAAATTGAGATTTAGCAGCACAGAAACTAACATTCCATATTTCAAAATTCACTGTAATTAAAAGTGAAGTGAAAAATTAGACATATGAAATGGAGAAATGATTAAAAGACAACGTTCAGTAGTTGTTTCTAGAGGGGCAGAAATGGAATGGGAGGGGATATGAGGAAACCCTCTGGAGCAACGGAAACATTTTATATCATGATAGGTTTCTGGATTACTTGGGTGCATGCATTTGTCAGACTGATGGAACTGTGCACATGAAATCTGTGCATTTCACTGTATATAAATTATACCTCAATAAATAGTTCCTATAAAAGCTATAACAAAAAGCCAAAAGAGCACACAGAAGGTGAGCAAAGAGTAAGCATAGGAAATTTTTAGAAGAACTACAAATTCTCAGTGAATGTATGGAAAGATGCTTGACTGCATTAACAATTTTAAAGATTGTAATTGATACTTTTCTCCCACTAATTGATTCTCTCATATACTGTTGGTGGACGTATGAATTAATACAGCCTTACTGGAGAGTAATTTAAGAGTATTTAACAAAAAAACATCTAATGTGCATAACCTAAAATGCAGTAATACTGAATTTACAAATTTATCCTTCAGATGAATTAACAGGAATGCATAAATGTTTGTATAATGACATGTATTTTAGCATTGTTTTTATAATACAAAATTTTTGGAAACCACCTTAACGTCCCTCAGTGGTTGAAAGGATTAAAATATATTGAGATAGTATTTAATGGTACTGAAATGTACACATTAAAATGGGGGCCTGCCTGGTGGGGTAGTGGTTAAGTACACACGCTCTGCTTCAGCAGCTCAGGGTTTGTAGCTTCGGGTCCCCAGTGTGGACCTAGCACTGCTCGTGAAGCCATGTTGTGGCAGCATCCCACATAAAATAGAGAAAGACTGGCACAGACATTAGCTCAGTGGCAATCTTTCTCAAACAAAAAGAGGAAGACTGGCAACAGATGCTAGCTCAGGGCCAATCTTCCTCAGAAAAAATTAAAAACTGGTTAAAATGATAAGTTTTGTTATATATATTTTACCAAAGTAAAAGAAGAAAAATACATACTATGATTTACCTATGTAATAGAATACTACTTTTAAAATAGTACAATAGATCTTTATACAGACTTGAAAGTATTTCATGATATTTTGTTAAATGGATACTTTTATAAATTTGTACATATTTACATGTATGTATGTGTAAGTGTGTGTACAAAAATAGAAAAATATCTGCAGAGCTAAGATTTTAACAATGCTAAGTTTTTAACAATGGGTGCCACTTGTGGTGTAAAATTATAGGGAAGACTTTAAATTTTTACATTATATATTTTTAAATTGTTTTAATTTATGAGTTAGTGCATGACTGTTTTAAAGTTAAAATACAGACTCCAAACTATATTATCATGTTTTCAAAAAGTTTGTGAATAAAAGAAGAAAATTTATATTCATAAAGCTTCTAGAGGCAGCAATAAATACCGAACTTTGGATGTGGTGAAACTTACAAAGATTGTATCTCATTATAAACATGAGAGCGTCTAGATTGGCCTGTGCATACAAAATATGTTACTAAAATTAAGTGTAGCCACAATAACTTCTTATGTAACTTTATTTTAATTCTAATTTGGTAACAGTGACACCCAATGCACTGTCATATTTTACACAGAAAGAGGATGATTGACATAAGTGACAGGTCTGGAGTTCTGTACTGTCTGAGCAGAGAAAGCCCTTGGACAAAAGGATGGACACAGCTCTCGGTATGGAGGAGTCCCACAAAATCACTAACCTTGGGTCCATACATTCTAAGTATCACTGTCCCTCTACCCCAAGATCCCAAGTTCTTTTTGTCCCATCCTGCTTCCTCTTGTAAAAAGAAGTTAGAGCACAATTTGACCTGTGCCTAAAAGAGCCAGTAGGAATCCGGTTCTAGTAACAAAGTCCTTCCCATTTCTGCATTCATGTCGGTTCTCCTGGGTGAGTTCTTCAGGGTTTGAGCCTACTTCACTTCACAGTAGTTGCAGGAATAGTCTCATGGAGGAAAGCACCTGGATGAGGTGTACTGGCAACTGACTCCCCCAGGACCTCTGAAGAACATATTGGTTCTGAGGCATGGGGTCATGGATGGTTGCCAAGGAGCAGAACTTTCCATAACTTTACATAGCATCTTCGTAGTCCAAATCTGTAATGCTTGCCTTCTTCAGCCAAGAATATATGGCTGAGGAGTCCTAGAAGCAAAGGCATGTGAATAGGACCAGAGCAGGGAAGACAAGAAGAACATGCCTCCCATGGTTTCTCTTCCCCAATCAACCTGGATGCATCCTATCATGGTGCACCACACAGCATATAAATTGGAGATTCTTGGAAGACTGTGGCCCTAGGCTAGCATTTTCAAAGGGCTGCATCCCACTCATGGGCCACAGAAGTGCCTCTAATGTGCTGCAAGCTGATCAAAACATGCAAGGCCTTCTCTCATTCTAATGGGCCATTGTTATTTCCATGGGCTGTCATTTTTTAACGATGTCAAAATTTTATATTCATAAACTAAATTTAGCGTGTCTCTGGAGTTGACCAAGGACACAAATTCTGTCCTGAGTCATCTGGCTGCCACATCACTAGACAAAATTACAATGCACCTGCTGTCCTTGAACACATGGCCAGTTGGAATACCTGCAATATTCTGAAGGTATTTTTGTATCATCAGTGATGTCTTGAATTGTTCAAGGTTTACAAATTACTGAGTTTTAATGACATAAATCACTATTGGTTTAGCTTCGCTCAATATTAATTTCATTTTCTACGGGGGCTTGGTTAACTTTAGAGCATGGTGATGTGTGTATGGTTCAACAGTATTTCCTGATAAAGATTTTTAAGTAAATAGAACTCTTAGACTAGGCATGCGCTACAATTTAACTGCAAATCATCCATATGTGCATTGTTAAAGGAAATGTATATGTAACTTCCAAAATTTCCCCATACAGTGACACTTTATTGTTATAACCAAATGTCTTGATCCCCATTGTAGGGGGAAACAAGGGAGAAGGTAGACCATGGGATCTTTTGACTTTCCTAAGTGGCCATCATTTTAAAAGTTTGAGAACCAGTCCCCAGAATAAAGAGAAAAAGAGCATACAGGAAAGAACAACAGGGATTCCAACTCACCTTATCCTCAATCTGTGTCCTTGGGGGTCCCACTGTGGAGGAAAAGGTACGATACATGCTGTCAGATTCCACTTATACTTAAAGTCCTTCACTAAATTAGTGTTAATAAGGGCTTCTTCCTCTCCTGTCTATTTCCTGTGGATTTATTTCCGTTAATACTTTTTGTCTCACTTTCCTGCCTATAACAAAAATAATTCCTTTACTATAAAGAGGAAAACTGGCAGCCTGGGAGTGGGAGGGTAAGTAGGTCCCCCCTGGCATTTATACCTCTCAGCTGTTCTGGGTCCAGCATGTATAGGATAGGACAAAACAACAGTAACTAGGCAGCTTGATGCAGTGCAACAGGGAGTGCACAGGGCTACTCAAAGAGGGCAGGCAGAAGCCACCATCTCCAATCTTGCCATCTCACTTGGGTGTGAGATATGCAGGAGATGAATTAGCATCAGCACTGGGCTCTACTGGAGGCAGCTTCCAGGTCACAGGTCAGTGTTCAGATAGGCATAGAAATGCTCATGGTCAGCTTCAAGGGCAGAAGCAGCAGCAAGGAAGAACGCTGCCATATACATACTGCCATACACAGCCACTGATTATCCTCTTGGTTCCAGGAAAAGATAAAAGTCAGAGACAAATTCACTCCCTTATGTCTCACCTGCTGCTGGTTGCAGTTCCTGCTGCATGTGGTACACCAAAGAATAAACCTCATCCCCGCGTACAACATTCACTGCAAGGGAACAAAGGATGCATCATGACACAGTCGCTTCGTCCTGCCGTTGAACTTACTCCATACTTACCACCTTCACAGCCAAAAACACAGATGGGTCACCTATTTGCAGAAGTGGCTAGGGCACAGCAGTGTCAGGTTTGCCCAGCAGACATTACTCCGTTGCCCCTTCCCCCAGCTTGCTCTACCTACTTGTCCCAATTCACTTGGGAAGCCTCACCATTTTCGTATACAGGATGTTGTTGCTCCCGGTCAGGTGAGTTGAGGTAGGTAGATTGTTGGGGTACAGGGCTGGGAGGGCTCCTGCAAACACAGAAACACACGCTATCTATCTGGGATAGCATCCCAGATATCCCAGACATCACTATCTGGGATTATGAGTAAGACGCTGAAGGAAAGAAGCCTGATAGAAAGTCCTGAGCAGAATACTAATTTACAGGAAAATCAGCAATCAGCACAGCTGTACGGTACAAGCCACGGCCCTATACCTAGGCTGAGTAGGGCATTGCAGAGTATCACTAGAGAATGTACCTCATGAATGTAAAGTCCTTGTCTGACTGACTCACTGTGGTATTGTCCACACCCAGAATAGTACCATTCACATCACAGGTGCTCAGTAAATACTCAATGAAGAAATATTGATTCACTCCAGATGGAAAATATGTTGCTAGGCAGAAGAAGCAGCTTGAGGAGAAAACAGTCTTGCATGTACATGTACCACTGAAAGTGTGCTACTCTGATTTGGGGAAAAAAAATCAATATTTTGTTGGCATAAACAATAATACACTATAAAAATATATCATCTAAACATTGGTTATCCCCAGATGGCAGTATTTTCAAAAATCTTTTCCTCCTCTAAACTTCTAAAGAACTTCATCAACAATTTTTCATTATGTTTATTACTCTCTGGCCTATATTACAGAAATGCATATATATCTTAACTACTCAAAGACTCTCAAGGCATTTCCATATTTTCATGCCTTTCAGCACTCAACAGAATGACTTATAGACCCTCAGATATTGGTTAATTGATTGAATGAATGCGTGAAACGGGTCAAAGTAATGTAACTTTCTTATTCTGCAGATTTAGTGAAAGAGATAATCAGGAAGAATGATGCAAGGATTTAAATTAACTAGCTATTATATAAAAGAAGAGGAATCACAAATGAATGTTCAAAGTTGTCAGTGGGACGACTCTCAAATGGTAGTTTTGGGTACAATAAAACATGAAAAAAACTCATGAGAGAGGACAATTCAAATTTTTTGAATAGATTTTTCTATGTTGCCAGTGAACATAGAAAAAGCAGAGACCTCACCTGGGTGGATCCCTGGCTGCACGTCTTCCTGCAAGTCAAACAAATGAACATACATGTCAACGGAGGAACTCTTTCTTGGGGCTTTTATGTAGCCCTTGTGCGAGGAATGTTCCTCGTGCCAGAATGCCCATCACAAGGTGCCACCGTGTGCCCAGAGGACATCCTGGCAATCGTTTAGGCAGATCCTTCATTTTTTGACGAAGAGACTCAGGCCAGGATAGTCAAGCGAGCTTCCCAAACACAGTTTATACCAGAGCTAGGACTTGAGTCCAAGTCTTAGAAATCTTACATCTATTATATTTTTTCTTTTGGTATTACAATCATACCACCTAATCTTATCAGAACAAGAGTCCTCAGAAGCAGGAGCTGCCACAGCCATGTTATAGAAGGATGAGGTGCCCAAAGATGCAGGAAAAGCTTGGAATTTAAACGAGAACTCACATTGTCTTCTCTTGCTCCATCTCCAACTTGTTCAATGGAGAACAGGAGACCAAGATTAAACACACAAACCAATATGTAATTACCAATTGTGATAAATATGAAGCTAAATAACTCAGTACTCTGATGAATAATAATAGAAGAGAATTGTAGGCTGTGTGGCAAGGAGGAGCCTCTTGGAGAAAATGATATTTACGATGAAAAGTGAGAAAGATCTAGCAATGAGTAGAATGTGTGGATGTGTAGACGAGCATTTCAGGGAGAAGAAAAACCATGCGACAATACTCTAAGATGAATAAGAATTATTGCATTGGTTGGGGGAGGGCAAAAGCAGTAAAGGTGGACATTTGTATGGTGATGGATGGAAACTAGACTTTTGGTGGTGAACACATTGTAGCGTTTACAGAAGTCAAATTATAATGATGTACACCTGAAACCTATATAATGTTGTAAATCAACGTTACCTTAATAAGTAAAAAAGAATTGATGCATTGACTTTAACTAGGAGATGATTGGTGTAGCTGGAACTGTTAACTGTACTTCTCTTCCAGTGGCTGATTAGTTATTTTAAATAGAGTTACATTTTTGTATAAAAATTAAATCACAGAAGCACAAGATCTCAACTGATAACATATGGTGGATGGAGAACTTTAGTAAAAACGTTGCACTACTTTAATAGGTGCCATTCCCAAGCTGGGAGTTATGAGCAGATCTATCGGCAGATGGCTAACAGGATATATTCATCCTTTACAGTATATATGTCACAAATCTAGCCTATTTCAGTGAAAACAAAGGTCATAGTAACCAAAGACCAATCCCTATAGATACTCACCTATTTTTCTCTTGAGCCAGCAGCAGAATAATAGGGCCATAGTGCCAGGACCAAGGATCCCAAGCAGTACCTCAATGACTCCTGAAGTAAGAAGTTCTTTTCTGTCCCTTGTAGGCACTGAGGGGAAAGACCTGTACATGAGCTGCTAAGGAAAACGGCTTGGGTTTGGAGAGCAGACATCTTGACTGTGGGTTGAGGCCAAGATCTACTCTTCCTGGAGGGAGGGGAGGGATGGAATTATTTATCTAGGGACTTGCAACTTATCACATTGATTAAAGGAGAAGAGAGGCACCCAGCCTTCATGTCCTCCATGCCCCCTCAGGTATACCTCCCAGGACAGCACCACCTGCAAAAGCCCCATCTTTGGTAGCACACCACCGAAAACATTTGGGGTCAGCAAAACTCTCTCACGATGCTGGAAAAGAGACATTGACCAAGACAATTCCATAGCCTGAGCTATACCTGTGATGTTGAGTGACACCAGCTCACTACGCTGGGCCCCCAGGCCATTGTTGGCCTCACAGTAGTAGTTCCCAGAATATTCTGCAGTCAGAGAGAAGTTGAAGGACACTCCTCCTCCAGAGGGGGCCAAGCTGTTCCCCAAGGTGACATCTTCATGATAAAACTGGTACAGGATCGGAGGAGAGCCTCTCTGGGCCTCACAGTGAAGCTCCACCACGTCCACTACCACAGCCTCGGCCCCAGGAGCCCTGAGGGTGAGGACAGGACGAGACACTGGAACTGACAGAGATAGTAGACTGTCAGAGAGGGTCTCTGATTATGGGATAGATTCATAATCGCTACCCACAGAGGCTCAGCCCCAGTGAACTTCCTCAGGGTGCCCCAGGGGAGCATGGAACCCAGTCTGCAACCTGCTGGCTGAGCTGAAGCGTAGTGGAACTTACTTCTGACAGTGATGCTCACCAGCCCACTGAGACTGGGGCCATAGCCATTGTCAGCTGCACAGTAATATTGCTCAGCATCACTCTCCCTCACCGTAGGTATCTCAAACTTCGCCGTCAGTGAACGCTGGGTCTTTGTTTCCAGGTTTAAACCCAGGGCCCCTTTGTACCAGAAGAAGGTGATGTCTCCTGTGCCCCCAGCGACCAAGCAGACAAGAACCAGCTTCTCTCCCTCCATCACAAGTCCACCTGGAGGTTGTGTCTCCAAGCTCACATTACTGACAGGAACTCCTACATGAACACAAGAAGACACAGGAGGACCTTGAGTAGGGAGTATTTCAGGGACATAGAGTAGGTGTGACAGTCCTGAAAGCAAAGGCCTCAGATAAAATCAATACTTTATATAGTTTAATGGCAGGGGTGAGGTGGGGCGGAGGGCAGTTCTGCTTATTTGGAATTGGTATGGCTGAGTTGATGATGGCAGGGTAAGAAGGGCACCTTAATATTACCATAGAGGATGCGGCATCACCTCCCTGCCTAGGATAATGTGATTCCCAGAACCCTGATCTCTCAAACTCATTTTTCAAAGCATAGTAGTATAGTGGTTACAAGTCCAGGTTACAAATCAAACTGCCTGGGTTTGAATGCTGATTCCAACTCTTACTGTGTTTGTTTGATCAAATTACTTAACTCCTCTGAGACTCAATTTCCTATATGTAAAATGGAGATGATAATGACAGTGATCTCCTACAGTCGTGAAGTTTCAGTTGAACAACATGTGTAAAGCTCCAGAACAGGGCCTGCAGCATATGAACTGTCCAGTGTTTGTGTGTGTGTGTGTGTGTGTGTGTGGTGGTCCAGGTTCACCAGTACTAAGTTCTAAGGAAGCCTGGGGAAGCCCAGCCTTCTGGAGGAATTAGACATTTGCTTTATGGCATGATGGATACATCTTTGTCTGAGAAGGGGAGAGGATGTCAGAAGTGGCAACCCTAAGATGGAATAACATGGTTCAGAATCACAAAACTCTCTCTTTTCTTTTTATCTTTCAAAATCAGGCCCCAACTTCTCCTCCTTAAGCCCTTTCCCAACATCCCCTTCCACAAAGCCTTCTCTTACCACCTCAGTCAGATTTCTCCTTTCTCTAGGGTTTCTATTAACACTCAGCACTACACCTCACATATTTCACCCTAGTTGTTTAGGGCGCTGGTTGAGCATCAGCTTCTTGTAATCAGGGACGATGTATTATGCAGCTATTTCCCCTACACTCTCCAGCACAGTGAAGACACACAGTAAGGGTTTCCTAAATATTCTTCTGTTTGCTTGAATGGGAATAGCAAGGATAAGGGAAGATTCATTAAGGACTCTGATAAAAACAGAAGCTCAGGTATATCTCTTAAACAGCTCCTATTCCTTCAGGATACAATAGTCAGGGAAGGCCAGCCTCATGCCTCTGCCCTTCTCAGCCCACCCCAGCAGAGGGCCCCCTGGCACTCACTCTGCACTTGTATCTGGATTCTCCGGCTCCATGTCTCTATGGATGGCACTGTCTTTGCTCCACACCAGTAGGACCCTGAGTTTTCCCTCCAAATGGTGGCGATCTGGAACTCTGGGGAGCTGTTCCAGCCCTTCCCCAGGACCCGACCATCTTTGAAGAAGCAGAACTGGAACTGGAAACCTGACTTCTGTGGAGGGTGCTGGATCTTACAGGTCAGGGTCATTGAAGTCCCCTCTACGGGCTGAGAGGGGCTGGCTGTCAGAAACACCACTAGAGAGAAAGATTAAACACATATTCCAGGACAATGAGTCAGAGTTTCTGGTAAAGGTGCTTTGTGTTCTCAGAATTTGAAACAAGACTCAAAGAACCAGCCATTTGAACAGACAGACCACCCCTCACGTTACCCCCCCAAAGTGGGCTTTTCTGCTGACCCCTAGCACAGCCTGCCCCTGTGCAGCATCACCTCCTTCCACAAGGCAGCTCTTACCTTTGACTTGGTTCTTACTCTTTGAAGTTTCGATCCATGAACGAAAAAGACCTTTTTCGGACACAGTGCAGGGTTATTGATGACTGTCACTGGCGTTGGCATTGGACATGGTGAAGCTTGAAGTTTTAGGAAATGTGAATATATTTCATTCATCCTTGTTGTAAACTATATTGGTTATTTTCTTCTGTTCCCTTTCCTCTGACATCTCAGACCCATACTATCTCTTTCAAAGACAGAATCTGAGGACTGGAGAATCAATCAGTCTAGGAAAGACTTAAAGGAACTCAATTCCTTTGTTACTGTTTCTCATCTGCCCCTATTATTTCTATTCCCAGTGGAAGGAACAGGCATGCACTTGCCTGGACATGCCCTGCATCCGCACATTCTAAGTCACAGCTCCCCTGCTCTGAGACTCCTATACAAACCTCTGTAGAAGCCATGGTCATAAGAAGCAAATTCAGTCCATACCTTACTTCTCAGGGATGTATCCCTTTTTCGTCAAAGGGGCTCTTTTCTGTATGAATTAAAGATGAGCAAAGTTGTGTCCTGCTTTCATCTCATCTTCTTATTGGCCCCAATTGCAGAAGCCCATGAAACATCAAAGCCCTGGTAGTATTGACTCTTTGGGTATTTGTTTTTCCAACCCTCAGAGCCTCTGCTCTTTGGGAAATTTAAGAATTTTCTTAAGAAAACCTTTTTCTTTCTTCATCCGATGAAAAGGCTAAATTGGGATGCTTTACCCTGGAACTTTTAAGAAATCAATTCAACCATGGTAACAGAATGTTTGCTCTGTACTGAGGCATGGAATACCCTGCACATTAGTGTGACTTTATCTCCTTAGAAAACTGTAGTCCCCAGAAGACTGGGGAGCAGCTTTGGGGCTGAGCAAAGAAAGGAATAAAAAAATGCATTAGGCACTTGTAACCCACTCTTCTGAATGGGACTGGGGTGGAGTTGGACTAGGATACCACACAAGACAGTTTGCAAGGATCTAGAGCTTGGTCTTGCAGCCCAGAGTTTCTTTTAGATAATTTTCGGGCACAGAGACTATCTGGCAACTTACTAGCAGCAGAAGCGTTGTTACTTCATCCTGGATGTGACTTTAGGTTTCAGCTTAGGCTAGGATTGGACACATACAATTATAGGGTAAAAGCTGTTCCAGGCATAAGGCAACATGGCATTAACACAAGGCATGTGTTAGACTTGGACAAACATCAGGGAAGGAATCCAGAGGCTGAGTTGGTTCTAAATACCTCTGGTCATGGGAATTCCTAATCCTGTGTTCCCTAGTTGCACATGCAGCCTGTGTTCTTGAGGTCAAGGATAACCTCTTTTAACCCTATGGTTAGTATGTACAAGAGAGCAGTTCTACTATAGATTAGATTTAAACATGCTTTAGTGAAAGATTCCTTGTGGGGGGAAATTTCCTCCTCTTTTCATATGGTAAAACTAAGACTTTGAATCAGAATCAGAGCAATGAAGTAAGTTTGCAGAAGCCAGAGTCTGAGAGAAAGAAATTGCACTGGGGTAATGGTAGTGGCTGCAGAGCAGGGCTGAAAATAGAAAGGAGGCAGCAGTACCACTTTGTTTTGTGCATGGCCCAAGGATTGAGTGTAATGTTCTCCATGGATGTGTGACTTTGGCATTTCTTCCATCACTTCTGGTGGAGCACCCGGTTGGGAATACATAGAGGTCTTGAAGCCCCAGAGGCTGGGAAGGCAGAGATTCTTCTAACATCAGTCTTCTACACCCTCTGACTTCCTTGGACAAACAGCATCTTCCTCCGTAAGCTGGGATTTCCCAGAGGAAAGACTGTGATCTTGAGAAGGTCAGAGCAAGCGTGCTCCTGAGGTGAACAGGCACGTGTCAAGTACAGAAACTGGTGTGAACACAAGCAGCCCTGGCCCAAGGGAGCCACTGTCATTTGCATATCTCAGCAGCTGTCACCCGATGTCAGACAGCCATCCACAGGCCTTTTGCATTGGCTCAAGTGACAAGATACCCACAGACCGTGAAGAAGAAAGGGAAGTGCAACTCACCATTTGGTTCACAGAGTGGAGCTGGGAGAGAATTCAGCAGAGATCAGTACAGAGAAGCAAATCCCAAATGTACACAAAGTTTAACATCCCCAAGAGCTTTCCAAACAACACATCTACCTTCCCCATGCTCTCCCCACATCTCTCCCTCCCTCTCTCCTTTAGTCTTTCTCCCTCCTTTCCTCTCCAACTTTTCTTCTCTCCCTCCCTCCTTCTTTTTCTCTCCCTTCCTTCTTTCTCTCTGTTCTTTTTCCTACATTCCACATCACCCACAAAACAACACCTAGTTCATCTTTATGACCCTAAAGTACTTTCCAATAACTTTTCTAATCTATGGTTAAGAGGTGGTGCCTTTGTCCTATAACAACCTAGCAACTCCCCTCTCCAAGCCCCTGATTCTCATCCCCTCCTCTCAAAAGTCTTGATGATCCAACTCTAGACTGGCTGACTCATGGTAACAACAGTCAGGCAAGGACAGTGGAAGGGCTCATGCTCGAGACATGATGCCCCTTTATTTACCAACTTCAGGTCAAAGCAGATCTAGGTCCAGAGAAGTAATTCAGATTCCTGCGAAGATTCTCTTTAATCTCAAGGATTTGACCGTAATATTATGGCATAATTATCAAGAATGGAAAATTCTGGGGGAAATGCAGGCTCTGCAGCCAGATGGCATAGATTTGAGTCTTGGCACTTCCTCTTACAAGCTGTTATACCCTGGGAAAAATGCTTCATCTCTCTCTGCTTTAGTTTTCTTTTCTCTAAAATGGAGATAATTATTGACCTACTTCACAGAGTTTTTGTGAGGGTTAAATAAATTGATATCCATAAAACGCTCAGAATAGTGCCTGGAATTTATTTAGCATTCAATAAATATTATCTCATTATTATTATCTATTTTAGCCCATCTTTAGTCTAAGATGCCTGCTTTTTTTAGGTTAAATGCTTATTTGAATAATTAGTTCCTCAGGTAGGAGAAGGGAATCAATGGGGGCTAGCATTTATTCATTCACACAACAGACTATTTTGAGTGCTTACTATATCCCAGGCATTGCACATGGCACTGGGGTCACAGGAGTAAACGTGAACGACAGTCTTTGCTGTCAAGGAATTTACATTATAGTGGGAGTGAGCCAATTAAAAAATAATATATAACATGATTTCAGAGAGTGATCAGTGTTATAAGAGAAATAAAGCAGAGAAATGTTACAGAGTATCTTAGGATGATTTTGACTATTTAGATAGATGTCAATTGAGCAGAAACCTGAATGAAATTAGAAAGCAAGCCTTCTGAATATTTGAGAAAGAGCATCCTGGCAGAGAAAAGGCAATTGCAAAGACCTTGAGAAGGAATGAACTTGTCCAAGGAGGAATGAGAAGGCAAGTGCACCTGGAACTGACTAGGTTGGGGGACAGTGGTAGATACTGGTGCATTAGAAGTAGTCAGGAGGCAGCTGTGGAGGACTTTCTGGACTTGGTAACAGCTTTGGATTTCATTCTAGATATGATGGGGAGCTATGGACAATGCTGACAATTTATATTTGTAAAATCACTCAATGTTGTGAGAAAAACAGGCTATGGTCATGCAAGAGAAGCAGGGAGAACATTAGTGGGAATTTAGTCTGGAAGAGTGAGGATGATGGCTCAGGTTAGGCAGTACTGGTGCTGTGAAGCAGCCAGATTTCAGGATAAATTTCGAAAGGAGAATCAATAAGAATTACTTATGGATTGGATATAAAGTACAAAATAAAGAGAGGAATTAAGTATGATTCTTAGATTTTTGGTCTCTGCAACTGGAAGAATGATAGTGACATTTACAGAAATGGAGAAATCATGGGGATAAATAGGTTAAGTTTTGTGGTGGTGGTGGTACACGTGGAAGATCAAAAGATCTGTTTGGACATGTTGAGTTTAAGATGTTTGTTAGACAGCTGAATGGCAGCTAAATACATGAAAGGTGTTCAAAGGAGAGATGAAAGCTGGAGAAATAAGCATGAGTTTAAGCAGTTTAAGCTTAAAGTGGCATGTAAAGTGACTAAATTGTATAATTTTGGAGTGTGAGTATGGATAGAGAAGTGTAAGTATCAACCTTGGGAAAGTGAAACATTTGGAAGTCAGTAAAGCAGCAGGTATTGAGTTAGACAGGGAAACAGCAGAATATGATGTTCCAAAGCCAAGTGAAAAAGTATTTCAGGAGGAAAGAGTGATCAACCATGTCAAATACCCCTGAGAGGTTAAAAAAGATGAGAAATGGAAATTAAATCCTGGATGGGGCAACATGGAGGTGGTTGATGATATTAGCAAGAGCAGTTTCAATGGAGTGGTGGAGATGAAAGATTAATTGAAGTGGGCTCAAGGAAAGATGAGGAAGAACCACAAGGACCTAGAACAGTTTAACAGCAGTTAGGAATGGGGGAGAATTCTATATATAACTAAGATATATGACTAAGAGCTGATTCTCTGAAAAGATAAACAAAATTGACAAACCCTTAGCTAGACTCACCAAGAAAAAAACAGAGAAGCCTCAAACAAATAAAATCAGAAATGCAAGAGGAGAAATTACAACGGACACCTCAGAAATACAAAAGATAATAAGAGAATACTATGAAAAGCTATATGCCAACAAATTGGATAATCTAGAAGAAATGGATAAATTCTTAGAAACATACAACCTTCCAAAACTGGACTAAGAAGAGGTAGAGAATTTGAATAGACCAATGACCAATAAGGAGATTGAAAGAGCAATCAAAAACCTCACCAAAAATAAAAGTCCAACACCAGATGGGTTCCCTGGTGAATTCTACCAAACATTCGAAGAAGACTTAATACCTATTTTTGTCAAACTCATCCAAAAAATTGAAGAGGAGCCATTCTATGAAGCCAACATTATCCTGATACCAAAACCAGACAAGGACAACACAAAAAAAGAAAATTACAGGCCAATATCACTGATGAGCATCAATGCAAAAATCCTCAACAAAATACCAGCAAATGGAATACAACAATACATTAAAAAGATCATACATCATGATCAAATGGGTTTTATTCCAGGGATGCAGGGATGGTTCAACATCTGCAAATCTATCAACGTGATACACTACATTAACAAAACAAAGAATAAAAATCACATGATCATCTCAATAGATGCAGAAAAGGCATTTGACAAGATACAGCATCCATTTATGATAAAAACTCTAAATAAAATGGGTATAGAAGGAAAATATCTCAACATAATAGAGGCCATATATGACAAACCCACAGTTAATATCATACTCAACAGAGAAAAACTGAAAGCTATCCCTCTAAGAACAGGAACCAGACAAGGATGCCCACTGTCACCACTCTCATTTAACATAGTATTGGAAGTCCTAGCCAGTGCAATCAGGCAAGAAAAAGAAATAAAAGGGATCCAAATTGGAAAAGAAGAAGTAAAACTGTCACTCTTTGCAGATTACATAATTTTATATATAGAAAACCCTAAAGAATCCACTAAAAACCTTTTAGAAATAATAAATGAACACAGTCAAGTCACAGGATACAAAATCAACACACAAAAATCAGTTGCGTTTCTATACACTAACAACAAAGTAGCAGAAAGAGAAATTAAGAATACAATCCCATTTACAATTGCAACAAAAAGAATAAAATACCTAGGAATAAACTTAGCCAAAGAGGTGAAAGATCTGTACACCAAAAACTATAAAACATTGTTGAAAGAAATAGAAGACACAAAGAAATGAAAAGATATGCTGTGCTCTTGGATTGGCAGAATTAACATCATTAAAATGTCCATACTTCCTAAAGCAATCTATAGATTCAATGCAATCCCTATCAAAGTTCCAACAACATTTTTCACAGCTATAGAACAAAGAATCCTAAAATTTATATAGAACAACAAAAGACCCTGAATAGCCAAAGTATTCCTGAGCAAAAAGAACAAAGCTGGAACTATCATACTTTCTGATTTAAAAATATACCACAAATCCATAGTAACCAAAACAGCATGGTATTGGCACAAAAACAGACACACAGGTCAATGGAACAGAATCAAGAGCCCAGAAATAAACCCACACATTTATGGACAGCTAATACTCAACAAGGGAGCCAAGAACATACAATGGAGAAAGGAGAGTCTCTTCAATAAACGGTGTTGGGAAAACTGGACAGCTACATGCAAAAGAATGAAAGTAGACCATTCCCTTACACCATGCACAAAAATCAACTCAAAATGGGTTAAAGACTTGAATTTAAGACCTGAAACCATGAAACTTCTAGAAGAAAACAGAAGCAGTACATTCTGTGACATCAGTCTGAGCAGCATATTTTCAAGTACCACGTCTGACAGGACAAGGGAAAAAGAAGAAAAAATGAACAAATGGGACTACATCAAACTAAAAACCTTCTACACAGCAAAGGAAACCATCAACAAAATGAAAAGACAACCTAACAAGTGGGAGAAGATATTTGCAAACTATATATCAAATAAGGGGTTAATATCCAAAATACACAAAGAACGCATACATCTCAACAACAACAAAAAACAAAAACCCAATTAAAAAATGGGCAAAAGATCTGAACAGAGATTTCTTCAAAGAAGATATACAGATGGCTAACAGGTATATGCTTAACATCATTAGCTATTAGGGAAATGCAAATCAATACTACAATGAGGTATCACCTCACTCCAATCAGAATAGCTATAATTAACAAGACAGGAAACAACAAGTGTTGGAGAGGATGTGGAGAGAAGGAAATCCTCGTACATTGCTAGTGGGAGTGAAAACTTGTGCAGCAACTATGGAAAGCAGTATGGAGTATCCTCACAAAATTAAGAGTAGATCTACCATATGATCCAGCTATCCCACTGTTGGATATTTACCAAAAAACTTGCAAACACAAATGCATAAAGATACATGCACCCCTATGTTCATTGCAGCATATTCCCAATAGCCAAGACTTGGAAGCAACCTAGGTCCCCATCAAGGGATGAATGGATAAAGAAGATGTGGTATATATACACAATGGAATACTACTCAGCCATAAGAAGGGATGAAATCCGGCCATTTGTGACAACATGGATGGATCTTGAGGATAATACGCTGAGTGAAATTAGTCAGAGGGAGAAAGTCAAATACCATATGATCTCACTCATAAGTAGAAGATAAAAACAATGACAAGCAAACACATAGCAATGGAGATTGGATTGGTGGTTACCATAGGGGAAGCGGGGAGGGATATGGGCAAATGTGTCATTAAGCTCACATGTGAGGTGATGGACTATAATTAGTTTTTGGGTGGTGAACATGATGTAATCTACACAGAATTTGAAATATATTACGATGTACATCTGAAAGCTATATAGTGTTATAATCCAAAGTTACTGCAATAAAATAAATTTAAAAAAAAAGAAATTGAGGACATGAGGAAATGTTTGAAGTGATGGAAATGTTCTGTTTTTTTATTGTGTTAGTGGTCACATTGATATCGACTCTGATATCAGTTTCCCCACATTAAACCCAGCATATATGAGGTTAGAACCAAAACACTCTTTCTCTGCTTACTCTCTGGCTTCCTGGCTCCAGAATCCACTATCCTCTGTGGAGACAGACATCACCAAGGACAAGCACCTGCATTCACTATCTCCTCCCTGGCAAGGAGATACAGGCTGGTGGGAAAGCTGCTGACCAGCAAGGTCCCAGGCTCCCTCCTCTCTGCAAGGAGTCTTAAGGCCAAAGACAGGCAGGCGGGAAAACTGGCCAGCAAGGCCATATGCTCCCCCTCCCCTACCTGAAACCCCAAATAAAAACCCTTCCTTTTAGCTTTTCAGGGAGTTTGGGATTTCAGCGTTAGCTGCCCTCTCTCCTTGCTCAGCGCTGTGCAATAATAAAATTTCTACTTTCTTCCACTAAGTGTCAGGTCCTTGCTCACTTGGAAAGATCTGCATGGCGGATCTTCATTTGTTGGGTGTCCCCCGAGTGTAGGACATGGACTAAGCTGGGACTGGAAGCACTTTGATTTTTGGTTTTGGTCTTTGTTTTGGCTTCCGTTTGTGGCCCAGGGCTTTTGGGAAAGTGTGCTTGTTTGGTATTTGTTGCTGTCTGTTTGTCTTTCCTTTTAAAAGTATTAACATGGGAGGTGCCACATCTATTCCACCTAAGAGCCCCTTGGGAAAACTTTGGCTAACTGGTCGACCTATAGTTATAACCCAATGTCTAAAGAGGGAGATTTCCTTTTGTAACACCATGTGGCCACAATATTCTTTAGACTCTGGAGGAAAAAAAAAAGGTCAAACAATGGATCCTTAAGCTGGGAAACTTTTTAGAGAGCTCTTATGATAAACAGCTGTTTTATTGGTACCTATGAAAAGACCAAATTAAAAGGAAACTATAATGACTAGTCTTAAGAACTTAATCAAACTTGGGGTCTCAGCTTCTTCTCGTGGTCTTACAGATGCTAATGAAGACATTAAGTTAACAAAGAGAAATCAGAAAGGGAAGAGTCACAGGACTCATCCCAATGGGATAAATGGAACAGACGTGAATAAAGTTAAAACAAAGGTTTTAATAAAACACTGCCTAAGGTTGAATGGGCTAAAGGGACCCCGTATTGGCTCCCCAACATTAAAGGACATCAGACAAGCCTGTTCTTTCTTTGTTTTTTTTCAGTAATTTATGACTCTTTTATTTTCCACTGTATTTGTGGATATTTCCCTGTTATCATTTCTAATGTGAGCTATTTGTGTTGTTTTTCTCTCTTTTCTTTTTTGCTTTGAATTGGTTAGCCAATGATTTATCTAATTCATCACTTTTCACAAGTAAATTGTTCTTTATTTTATTTTGAGTTTTATTTTTTTCGGATATACATCATATTTCAAATTCTGGATAGATTGCATCATGTTCACCACCTGAACACTAATTATAGTCCATCCCCTCACATGTGACCCTAATCACCCCTTTTGCCCTCCCCACTCCCTCCTTCCCCAATGGTAACCACCAGTTCAATCTCCAGTGCTATGTGGTGTGTTTTTTTTGTCATTTTTATCTTCTACTTATGAGTGAGATCATATGGTATTTGACTTTCTCCCTCTGTCTTATTTCACTCAGCGTAATACCCTCAAGGTCCATCCATGTTGTCACAAATGGCTGGATTTCGTCATTTCTTATGGCTGAGTAGTAGTCCATCGTGTATAAATACCACATCTTCTTTATCCATTCGTCCCTTGATGGGCGCCTAGGTTGCTTCCAAGTCTTGGCTATTGTATATAATGTCGCAATGAACATAGGGGTGCAAGTATCTTTATGCCTTTGTGTTTTCAAGCTCTTTGGATAAATACCCAGCAGTGGAATAGCTGAATCATATGGTAGATCTATCCTTAATTTTCTGAGGATACTCCAAACTGCAGATAAGCCTGTTCTACTTACCGCAGTTTGAAAAAATTTAAAAGGTCAGGAGGCAAAAATCAGAGAGGAAAACCTGACCAACGATTGTTTGGGGCAACAGTTAGGCTACTAATGTTAATAAGGCTATAAATATTAAAGTGTTTAAGC